TTTCTACGAGTAAAACTCGAAGGAAGAAAGGAGAAAATGAAGAGAATACACTGGTTGACTTAAAAGCAGTTGGCACGATGATTTTATACTCGGCCTAAAATGCTAGTAGGGCGCTATATAGTGGGGAAAATGGCGAAAAAGCGAAGGAAACGAAAAATAAACTGCGAAGGAAAGCCTTCGTTCCCACTGACTCAGAAAGCGATTTTGGACGAGTTTCCCGTAGGCATCTTGCCAATAACCGCTGCGGTAGGTACGGCTGCACATGTACTCATATATCCATGCAGCACCATAATCGCTTCATACCAATCCCATCGCTTCATAATTTACTTTTTACTGAAGCAATACGAGCATCAGGTACGGTCGGACATTTATGGGCAGGCGGGCGTGGAGGGCGAGGTGTCGGTATGTTATAGCTTGATAGGGCCTTATAAGGGCAATCTTCCTTGGAAAAGCGCCACGTAGAGCCTACTCGGGGTCGCGGACTTACGTTCTGCCAGGCGTACTAATCCTACTCGTCTTAGAGATTTATCGTGCCATCTGCCTTTAAACTGATTGTGCTTCGCGGAAATAGGTCGCTTAGCACCAATCAGTATGCTATTAGGTTGCGTGGAAGCTGTGTCACATTTTTTTGCTCAATTAATTTGCCCTTGATATGAAAAGGTGAAACTGGAAATGTGAACAACGTAGCCCAAGATACTTTTTTGGCAATAAAATTCCCTCTTTTCTACTTTCTTGGACATGGACAACGACTTGGTCTCGAACCGTCAGCACCTGCTCCCTAGGTTTTTTTTCTTCTGCCGCTTTGACTGAAACATGAGGGCTGCCGATGCCAAAGTGAAGGAGTTGTATGAGAAACATGTTCCCAGTCACATGGAATCTTTCACCGAACCAACCCTTCAGGGCAGGAGACTACAAAGTAGGAAGAAAGATTGGCGCGTACAAGTGCATTCAACTTGGAGGAGCTGCGACTACTGTATGCAGCTGACTTCACGGGTCATCAGTATACAAACCCTCTTCAAAAGTAGAAGTAAATGGTTGATCAAGGGAGAAAGCTTTGTCCGCCCGCAGTAGACCTTGCAAAACCTCTAGGAGAACAGTGAGATACAGTTGGATGGCTTCCTTCACTACCGGTAAAGCAAAGAAATCGCTCCCTTCGGCTGCCAGTTGTTCTCCAAACTAAATCACTACATGAACGACGAGTGCTTCACGACCCGAGCCCATGTCGCATAGTCGAGAAGGCGCATAACCTTGCGTCGCGCTAGCCTGCTTTACGAAGCGACGCCACTCAGAAGGTGTAAGATGCGAATGCAAGGATATTCTGTAGGGAAGGTTAGAAAGGTTGCAAAGTGACAAAAAAAGCCAGTGGGTGTACTGGAGTAGGCGGGGCCGTCAAGGAGGGTCATATTTTGCAAGGGCTATAAGGGGTTTGAGATAGTGCTTCAAGTCGGATTGTGCCGTTTCGCGGAAGATCGGAAGAACAACTTCTGCATGGGGTCAGCTCCAAGAAAAACATCGAAAAGATGGGTACCCAAAAAGACTGAAGGTATGACGATCGAATAGCAACAGTGATGACCAGGGTTGAACGTTTCCGTTGAAAAGGTGCGAGGCTGTTCACAGCTGGATACAACGGCAGAACGGTGAGAACGCATTCCAACAACCGGTTGGTGAAGCCGTTGCCGGTACGAGGCCATCCGTTGTCAGCGCCGACGACGGGGCGAAATGAACGATGTCTATTTTTGGCACAAATGCGAGAAAAAGGCCTTGATTTAATGGCTCAATGTATGCAAGAATAGCTGCCGAATGCGCCAAGTGATGAGACCGGTTAAAAAACTGCGAGAAACCTTCATGGTCGCTCTTGAACTGCTGTGTAATGTTGCTGGCATAAAGCAAACATTAGACAAAAATAGAAAGCTCTAGTTCAATGAGAAGAACCTTTGTTGCATTTCACATCGTAGAGATTACTCGGGCTCCTACTGGTAGCGCATATGTATCAGTTCGATAATTCTACCACCCCCCCCCACATTTCTTTGCTCACGTCGAAAACGATAGTGATAGTTATGGACTAACCTCCACAGCACTATGGCACGGCATCGTGACGAGGGTCCAATCAAGGGAGGGGGCATCTGATCACCAGGGACGGGATCGTATCTGGCATGGGGAGAAACTTTTCCGACTGCTAATTTTTTTTTCGGATTTACGCCGCTAAATCTTCCCCCCCCCCCCTTATGCTGTCACTTATGCCGCTGCTGCACACTGTTCAGCATCCGTCATACAGTGGACTTTTTCAGGACTTTTTTCATGATGGAAAAAATACCCATAAAATAAGCTGCAGAAACCAGACAGTGTTGGGATATTACCCGTTCCTCGACTGGCATCTCCTTCCAGAAGTGCAAACTGTCGCTTTTTTTTTGTAGGAGAAGGTGACATTTCCGTGCACTTTCTGTGCCTTTAGGGAAAAAAGTAAGGATACCGAATAATAAAAAAATAGAGACACCCCAGATATAAATAAAACCAAATTCCCGAGAACCTCGTGAAGTAGTGTAAGGCTTTGATGTGGTACCACCGATCTCTACTGTTAAGGGGAAACAGGCAGAAAAAATAATTAGTTTATCAAGAGATAATAGAATAAATGGAAAGTTGAAGAAGTGTCGTGGCGTTGGAGCTATCATCCTGGCAGGCAAAAGAGGGGGACAAAGCTGTGGAAGCGACTATAAGGGGATCCTAGCCTAGGTCGAAGAGAGATTTCGAACTTCTAAGTGGAGGAACACCGGACTTCCTCTGGTCAAAATTGCCGCTTTTTCATAGCAGTTCCCTGGTACTCTTGACCCTCCGCTGAGCTCTCTCTTCCAGATCGCATAACCTGACATGCGATCACCTGATCTCAACAGCAAAAATCACATAGATTTCTCGAAAAAATTTGGATTCAAGGAGAGCTTCGAGAATTTTTCAGGTCTGTTTGTAATAGGCCGTTGTCGATAATAGTACTGCAAGCCTGACCGACAGTGGGCAGCTGAGGAAGGAGATGGGAAGGAGTGGATGTTATTCACGCAAACATATCTATTCAACCATTTGGCAAATGTAATCGAAAATGTAAAAATTATACGAAGCAGAAAAGTCCTGCAATCATCAATTTCTTTTGCAGAGGGCTCAGGCATGCAACATCCATTCAGAGTCGCTAAGACCTCTGAGTACCGATTAGTCATTATAAAGACATGTCAGCATCAGTTGCTGTGAATGTCAAACTTATTATCCCAAACAATTCTGTACAGTCTGAGAGCGAGAGGAGCAGTTCTCATTGTTTGGGGAGGGTGAGGAGTCTGTTTCGGGACCATTCACTGCACCATGCACTTAGCCAGTGTCCATTTCCCTGCAAGAAACCTATCGAAAATGAAAATTGAAAATGCTAAAACAAGTGTGAGGAACAAGGTAGTCTATCGAATATTCACCCCTCCCCCACTCGCGAAGTGGGCAGTGCAAGAAGGT